TTCCTGTGGTCCTCCAGGTGGTCGCTACCTGTGATCTTCCAGGTAGTCGCTACCTTTGATCTTCCAGGTAGTTGCTAACTGTGGTCCTCCAGGTGGTCGCTACCGGTGGTCCTCCAGGTGGTCGCTACCTGTGATCTTCCAGGTGGTCGCTTCCTGTGGTCCTCCCATGTGGTCGCTTCCTGTGGTACTCCAGGTGGTCGCTACCTGTGATCTTCCAGGTAGTCGCTACCTTTGATCTTCCAGGTAGTCGCTACCTGTGGTCCTCCAGGTGTTCTCTATCTGTGGTCCTCCAGGTGGTCGCTACCTATGGTCCTCCAGGTGGTCGCTACCTGTGGTCAAACCCTCATTTTTTATATCTGTCCCACATTCAGCAGAAGTTTAATATCCGTGCAGTTTCTTCTTCAGGTGAGCTTTATGAGCCGTCTCTTTCATGTTTTTAGTTCAGTCTGAGGCTCAGAAGATGAAAAAGAGGACTTGAGGTCACATGTTCGGTTGCAGCTGAGTCAGCGTTTGTACCTGTGCATGCAGCTTCTGAACATTTCCCAGCCCTGAAGGCTGCATGTTTGTTTTCGTGCAGAGAAGGTTCAGAACGAGCTGATCGTTGGTAAAGAAGAGAGACGAGCCGCAGCAGCGTTTACTTTGGGCCACAGAGACTTTATTATTGGATATTTCAGGTGTTAGATGGTCCAACAGGTGCAGACAGGAAATAGAAAATCCTTCACATGTTGGAAGACTGAAGTCTAACTGAGCGGCTCTAATCGTCCCGCGGCTTCAGGACGGACTGATTACAGTGGGGGACGGGGTGAGGAGGGAGGGGAGTGAGAGGTGAGGAGGAGGAGGAGGGAGGTGTGTCGGGTTACAGTGAGACAGTTCACTTCTGTTCAGGCATCAAGTCGTCGATGCCGTCTCCGGCCTCCAGACGCTTCTCCATGTTGACCAGAAGGTTGACTCCGTCCACCACCATCTGGACCAGCTCCACCTCTGAGAACCCCAGACGGTCTGCGTTGGAGATGTCAAAGACTCCGCCCACTGCTGCGGTGTCCACTCCACCTGAGAGACAGACAGGAAGTGATGTCAAGTGCTGCAGACACAGTCAGTTTACCTGTGTGGCATTGGGCGCACCTGTTCCTCTCTTCTGCAGCCGCAGTCTCTTTAGGATCTCGCCGAACTTCTCGTGCTTGCTGAGGTGCGGCAGTTTGACGTGCACGCCGGCTCGCAGGCCCGTCCCCAGGTTGGACGGACAGGTGAGGACGTAGCCCAGGTGTTCGTTCCACATGAACTCGTGTCCCCGCTCCTTAAACAAGCCTTCAATCTGCAGGACAGAGAGAGACGTGTGGGCGAACAGGTGAGACGGGTCATCGAAGGGGAGACTAGTTGGCATTCATGTGGGCGTCTTCAGGATGTCTCAGGATCTTCATGGCAGTCCTCAGAGTCATGAGTCAAACAGCGAGTTCTGAACATGTTTAAAACAGTTCTGCATCAAATAATCTCATAAAATCATCGTGGACGTCTTCAACACGTCTCAAGTTGTATTTTGTCTCCTAGACAAGAGCTTTGACACAAAACGTTAGCAGCTAATGTCCAGGTGTACAAACCACGCTGATGATAATTATTATAAAACTGGTCCAAATGAAACTATCTTTATTTCTCAAGTTTGCACCACAGATTAAATTATAATCCAGGGGCGGCTGCAAAGCCAGTCCAACCAGCCGCTCTGTTCGTTGGGTGCGACCGCTCGACTGCAACAGTGTCAACGGTCGCAGCTCAGTGAGATCCCACCTTTTAGAGCCAAGTCCCCACGTTCAAGATTTAATCAGCTTTTAGGAATAAAACCAGCAGATTTCGACCAGTTCATGAACGATTCTTTGGTGATCTGGTGGTTTTAGACCTGGATGTTTGCCTCAGGTGAGCTCCAGCGCAGGTGTCAGAATACATCCAGAGCTCTTGAGACTCTGACGGTGACTTCTTCAAGACAAATGTTTTGAACCCGTCTGCTGCACTTGGGTCAAACCGTTTGGACCCAAAGCTCAGGCGGCAGGACTGTGGGGCTCCACGAGTCTCCTTCATGAGTGTCACCACCTGAAACCGAGCAGAGGACAGGAAGTGAGGCGCTCACCTTGGTGAGTCCAGTGCAGAAGCGGGTGAACACCTCCCGCATGTTGCCTCCTTTCTGCATGCTGATGACACGCAAGTGATCCTCCTCGTTGACCCAGACCAGGAAGGTCTTGTTGTTGTTGTGCCTGCAGGTGAACAACGGTTAACCACAGGAAGTCTGAATGATCTCCAAACCAGAGTCCCCAGCGTACTGACCAGATGCCGCGGGCGTCGGGCCAGTCGCGGGCCATCCCAGAGGCCAGCAGCAGCGGAGAGACGGGCTTATCGAACAGGAAGTGGTCATCTATCAGCTGCTGCTGCTCCTCGTCCGTCATGTTCTTCAGGGCATAGTACCTCCCCTTCAGGTCCCCTTCCAGGGTGTCCAGAGCTGCAGGGGGAGTCAGAACCGCAGGGTCAAGACTGAATGGGCGCACCTGAGAGCCCTCAGGGCTGACACCTCGGATCTGAGTAAATCAGCTTTAAGACTAGATTTTCATCACGTTTTCCAAATGAAATGCAAGATTTTAGTTTCGTAGTCAGAATGCTGAATGGAATGTTTCCTGTGTGTCTGTTAGCAAAATGTCAGCCAGGTGACTTGTTTGGCTTTTACCTTCGTGCAAGAATTAGTTTTTTAAGCAGCTAAAACATCGAGGGAGGCTGCTGGAGGAAATATGTTTTTAAAAACCAAATGCAGTGAATAATCTTCATCAATAAAACCTCTCTGCTCACATGCGTTTTAGATCCTCATCTGTAAAACCTGATTTCTGCCAGCAGGGGGCAGTGGAGTCTCCTCCCAGCCTCTACCGGGCCGCACCGGTTCGGTCCGGTTCCGTTTGAATATGAAAGCTGTGACTTTGGACAAAGTGAACGGTTGGACTCGTTGGAGTCTCAGCAGGACGGCGCTGGGCTCGCAGTTACGCAACGCGTCCATCCCCCGGTGTGCGTGCCAACATGCTCACTGAGGCATGATGGGAAGTCTCTAAATAAAGAGCGATGAGCTAAATAAAGCCGAGCAGACTGAACCGGAACGAACGCTGCGTTGTCAGAGTTTCCCTGAACGCACCACGATGTGGTGCTGATGTTGCTCAAAGCGAAGCATCCCGTCTCCTTCGATTCGACGCTCCTCACTTCGTTAACATCTGTCAGTTTTAGACGAAGGAGCCAAATTTAAACGTCCTGAATGTGAAGCTACAGAACGACGGCAGCTTCTTCTGCAGAGCAAAAACTGAAACGCATGTGAGTCGGGTCTGATCCAAACGGTCTGAGGCTCAGGTTTGTGTCCAGTTGTGACATAACAGCACAGCGCTGCCGCCAAGTGGATCAACATCTGGAATTAACTCACCGCTGGTTAAAGCGAAGATGTTCTCTTTGGTTCATTTCATGAAATGAGAGTTTTTTTATTGAAGTTTTTTATTTAAAATCTTGTGTCTTAGACTGTGTTTTGGATCTGGACCTAAATAAATCTTACCTGGACCCAGACAGGTTGTTTAATTTCATTAAAATTTTTAAAATAAATTATTTATATATAAATTAGAACTTGTGCACATTTTGAGGTGGCAGAGCATCTTTTCTACAGTTTATAGTTTATTTCAAGTCGCAAAGTTTCATTTATTATTTTAGGTGCCGGAGCTGTTTGGTCATTTATGTTAACATCATTTTTTTATGTGTTTTGTTTTTTATTTGTGCAAAGTTTTTCTTTACTCTCGTGTTTGAGAACGAACTGAACCAATCATTTTAATTTAACCACTGAGTTTCGTCGAGCGCCGACTCGGTGCACACAGATGTGGATCTAAACGTTTCCAGAACAAGTGAACCGTTTTAGAGAACCTTCGTGATTAAATCTCAAACTTTTAAACAGAAACGATCTTAAAGTCCATAAAACGAAGTCGTGGTTGGACTTCTGCTGAAGCACCAACTGACCCCAGAGCAGCCGTTTGATCCAGCGCTTCCTGAGAAGACGGACAGAAATGGGCTCCAAGCGTTCAGCGGCAGACGGGTGTGCAGCGTCGTACCTTCGATGGAGAGTTGTTCGACGCCGCGTCGCTCTCCGCGGCTGCAGTGGGGCGGCAGGCTGAAGCCGCGGATGCTCCGTCCCGTCCGGACCCGAGAGCTCAGCACGTAGTTTGGATCCAGATCATCTCCGCCCTGAAAACAAACACCGGACACCATCAGACCAGGTGAAGGTAAAAGGTGTTCGAGGGTCAGGTCAGCACCATGGACAGAGAACGAGGTCCAAACTCTTTTGACTTTTCCCTCTTTAGGTGTCTCCACAGACAACCATCCTCCATCTGACTCTGTCCTCTGTCCTCACTCTGTCCTCACTCTGTCCTCTGTGTCCTCTGTCCTCACTCTGTCCTCTGTCCTCACTCTGTCCTCTGTGTCCTCTGTCCTCTGTCCTCCCTCCAACTGCCTCCATGTCCTCTCTAACTGCATCCATATGTCTCCTCTTTGTCTTTTTCCTGGCAGCTGGATTTCTAACATCCTTCTACCAGTATACCCACTGTCTCTCCTCTGGACATGTCCAAACCACTGTCCCTCCTCTGGACATGTCCAAACCACTGTCCCTCCTCTGGACATGTCCAAACCACTGTCCCTCCTCTGGACATGTCCAAACCA